AGCTTGTAAGCTATTTAATTATTTATATATTTTAACTTATAAATCAAAATTTAATTAAACTTGTTAAACAATATTTATTGATCAATAACGTCCTTAGGGAGTAAGTTATTTTAATTAGATATTGCAAGTGTGTATCCTTTAGATATGCTTTAATGGCAATAATGTTATATTGATCAATAGATGCAGGAAAATCAAAAGAGGGGAGATCAAATTTTTTTGCAATTTTAATATAACTAATTAATTTATTTAAATAATTTAAATGATATTTTAGTTGGTATGTTATTTTTATTAAGTACATTTTATAATAATTTATATTATTAATCTTTATTTAAAATATAGAACGTAAGTTACTATAAATTTTATTAAAAAGTTTAAAATATTAATAACGTTGGTTATTTTAATTAATTAATTATTGTAAAATAATTTAAATTCAATGTAACTTTTACGTAACTTTTATTTTATAAAATATTTTAGTTAGTAAGTTATTTTTATTGATTATCAGTATTTTATTATACTTTTTACTGTACTATATATAAAGCTATTTGGTTAGATGGATTTATTAGATCTTATTTATATGATAATAAAAATTGGATTAGAAGTAAAAAAATAGAAGTATCTCTTAAATGTCTTGATAAATCATCTAATTTAAATGAAGAATTTTTAAATGAGGTATAAAATTATTAATTATTATTTATTTTAAATAATAAATTTTTAAATAAATTTTTATTATTTTAGTGGAAAAGTCATTATAAATGTTATAGTCAATTAAAATATTATTCAAATGAAAATCTAATTCAATTATATGGATTTACACAAGATCCAAATACATTAAATTATATGATAGTAATGAAATATGCACAAAATAGTAATTTAAAAAAAAATTTATTAAATAAAGTTAAAGATAAATGGATTGTTAAATTACGCCAATTATTTAATATTATTAGTGGACTAGATGAAATGCATCAAATAGAACTTATTCATTGCGATTTACATCATAGCAATATTTTAAATATTAGAAAAAAAGTTTTATCTATTAGTGATTTACGATTATGCAAACCTGTAGAATATTTTAAATTTTCTAAAAATAATGAAATTTATGGTATTTTACCATTTATAGCACCTGAAGTTTTAAGAGGTCAACCTTACTTTTTAGCTAGTGATATTTATAGTTTTTCTATGATTATGTGGGAATTTATATCTGGAATTCTTCCATTTAATAATCAAGCTCATGATTTTCAACTTAGTTAAGATATTTGTAAAGGTAAACGTCCTGAAATCATTAAAATATTTCACAATATTATATAGATTTAATGAAAAAATGCTGGAATATGGATCCATTAAAAAGACTAATTGTATCAGAAATCAAAATAATTATTGAAAATAATAATACAAATAATAATATAATTATTGATAAATCTCATCCAAAGGCATATCATATAAGTCATTTACTTGATTTTACTGAAAATTTAAATAAAATTTTAAATCAAAATATAATAAATACAACAGAAATTAGTCAAAGTATTGGTAATTATATTTTAAAATTTTTTAAATAATTTAATTATTTATATAAATATTATATTTTTAATTTATAGAGAATACAATTATTACAGATGATAAAATAAGTATTTTAAATTAATATAATTTATATATAATTTATTTAATCAATTTTGAAAAAAGAAATTTATTATATTCAATTTTTTATATATATTAAAATTTATTTAAAATCAAATTTTTATAAATATTTAATTAATGAATACTATAATATATAAAATAGTTATTATAACATAAAGTAGTTTGCAATTATTAAATAAACAAATTATTTTTTTATTATATTATAATTAAATATTATTATGATTAGTTTTTTTTATTCAATTCAAAAATGTAAATAAAATATAATAATTTTCTAGATAAGTATCTCAATAGAAAAAAAGGTAGATTTTTTATTTTATTTTGACTCATTTCAGATATTGCATAAGAATATGAATACCTACAAGGAAATATTTCAGTGATAATTACAAAAAAGAAGTAATATATTTATAAGAACAAGAATATTTATTTTTTTAATCTAATTATTATATTAGTTTTAAATATTCTAATAAATATTTGCATTTAATAAAATAAAATATTTTCGTGAAGAAAGTCGAGAAATTCTCAGATGTATTTTATACTAAAAAAATTTTTTATTCTTCTCTACCATAGAATTTATTTCTACTCAACTTCTAATCTCAATACTAGGGTTCCGCAAAATCAAATCAAATCAAATCAAATATTTGATTGAATCAAATCAAATTGAATCAAATATTTGATCAAATCAAATCAAATCAAATCAACCAAACTGAATCAAAATTATTAAATATATACTGTATATATATATATATTTAAGACGCTGTTACATCCAATTTGTAACTCAAATAAAATTCAAAAAATTAATAATGCTAAGACTAAACTCAAGGAATCACAATGAAGATTCATAGTAAACGTCAAAGATTATTCTCAATTACATGTGAATAACTTCTGGATATTTTAAAGATTACATTCCAGTGACTACACCTTAAATAAATATAACAAATCAATACAATACCATGCAAAATTAATAAATAATAATAATATACACAGGTTAAAGAGTTGCGAAGGATAAGTTTTAACTTGGTTAATTATACGCTTGGTTAATTATACGCTTTATTAATAATATAATAAATTATAAGTTCTCTATCTTGTAAGGTCATAAGGTAATAATCTCATCCAATGAAATATTATTCTTACTCCATTTTAAGATGTGTATTAATTGATGAATATATTCTTTGGTATTATTTCTCGATAATAATACAAAGGTATTTATACATATTTGATAATTATAAAATAAACCAAACTAAATATATCTATGAAAAATAAATGATGTTATCAAGGAAATAAAGTTGACAAAATTGATTAGCAAGAATGATCATGTCAATAAAGTTGCCTGTTACATTGGAAATAAAATTGACATCTGAATTTACAATGTTTCACATTGATTATTTCAGAACATAAAGTTGACATCAGGATCGACAAGATAATAAACAAGAACATTTAATTGACATTGGATTTGTAAGCAGATTTTTAGCCGAAATTTTGCACTGCTACAACGCGGTAAAGCATTTATTTATTAAAAAAACATTTTTATAATATAAATCAAAGAAAATCCCAAAGTGTGTATATAAAATAGAAAATTAAATAAATGCTACCTAGCCTTCGTCAAAGACATATTGCCTTCTTCAACCAAACCAACTAATAATATAATGATTGATCAACATAGTATTAGACAAATATAGATTTGTTAAACTAGTATATTGAGAATTTGAGAATTCTGACATTTTAAAAAATTCTACTGAAAATTTCCCAGTTGTCTCATTACATTCATTACATTCAATTTAAAAAAATTAATTAAATTCACAATATAAAAATTTTTTTAGTTAAATTTTTATTTTATATTTAATAACATTTACACAATTGGAACTTTATATTTTTTTTTCAAAAAGAAAAAGCACTATTATCCCGATACTCTTTTCTTTATTATAATTAACCATTATTATTTCTCAAATTATATAAAAAATTTATACATAAAAAAAAATTTAAAACATATCAGACTTTAATCAACTTTTAAGACAAATTATCACACGAATTGTATTACTTTCAAGTCTATTACGTTATGGTGTAATTACATTGCCACTTTGACTAAATAATCATTCTACAGATACACTAGTAGACAGTATTGATAAATAATCACGCGCTAACATAGATAATGTTGAATAATTAATTTTGGTATTTTTTCACCATTTCAATACATTTATAGTTCTTGGTTCTGGTGAACTATTAAGATATACTAGTCGAGATCAAAAAAATCGAACATGTGATAAATCGTCTATCAATCATCTGTCAATCAGATATAATCATCAATGGCTAAAAATCAACCTAAATCAACCTGTCTGATTTATGGTCAATTGGAATTAAGCCAAAATTTCAATTTCGATTGGTTCAATCAAATAATACAAAAATCATCCGATTGGAAAATTAATTCCAAAGGAACAATAGAAATTGTGCTTAAGAGAAGATACAAATTGTTTCTAAGAAACAATAAAGATAATCATTCCTTTTGGGATGATACATTATCGTTCAAAAAGAACAATTTAAAAAATCATGCTAAAGGAATGATAGATCTATCATTTCAATAAGAACGATTTAAATAAATCGTCCCAAAGGAATGATAGATTATTGTTCATTAAAAACAATTTAAATAAATCATCCCAAAGGGACGATAGATCATTGTTCATTAAGAATGATTTAAATAAATCGTCTCAAAGAGACAATAGATTATTGTTCATTAACGTTAAGAACAATTTAAATAAATCATCCCAAAGGAATGATAGATCATTGTTTATTAAGAATGATTTAAATAAATCGTCCCAAAGGGTTGATAGATCATTGTTCATTAAGAAGAATTTAAATAAATCGTCCCAAAGGGACGATACATCATCGTTCATTAAGAACAATTAAAAAATCATCCCAAAGGGATGATGAATAATCGTTCTTATTCAACGATTTAAAAAATCATCCTAAAACGACAATGAATTATCATTTTTATTGAACGATTTAAAAAATCATCCTTTTGGAATGATAGATCTATCGTTTCAATAAGAACAATTAAAATCATTCTTTTAGAATGATAGATAATCGTTCTTATTAAACAATCAAAAAATATCCTTTTGGGATGATAGATCTATTGTTTTAATAAGAACGATTAAAAATCATACTTTTGGGACAATAGATCATCATTTTTATTAAACGATAAAAAAAATCATCCTAAAGGGATGATAGATCATTGTTCATTAAAAACGATTTAACAACGTTCCTTTTAGAACGATGATTGTTCATTAAGAACAATTCAACATGATTCCTTTTGGATGATTATCATTTGATTTGAATGATAAAAAATCGTTTCTTTTAGAACGATAATTGTTCATTAAGAATGATTCAATATCATTCCCTTTAAAATGATTATCGTTTGATTTGAATGATAAAAAATTGTTTCTTTTGGAATGATTATTGTTCATTAAGAATGATTTAATATCGTTCATTAAGAATGATTCAAAATCATTCATTAAAATGATTCAACATCGTTCATTAAGAATAATTTAACATCGTTTCTTTTGGAACGATTATCGTTCTATAAGAACGATTCAATATCGTTCCTTTTGGAATGATGATCATTCGATTGGAAAGATCAAACTATCATTCCTTTGGAATAATACACTATCATTCAAATCAATATTATTATTCTAATCCGATAATTCAATTGGAACGATCAAATCATCGTCCCCTAAGGAACGATACAAATTATTCAATAGAAACGATGTTTCAATTGGACAATACACAAATCATTCAATTGGCTAGAAAACTTTCAGATTAATCAAAAAAAATTTTTTTCTTTTTTTTAACACTTTTTCTTTCTTTTTTCTGTATTTTTTTTCTTACTTTGAAGATTATTACCATTTTTTTTAAAAAAATTCTCATTTTAGAAATGTGATAAATCATTCTTTTGGTGAAAATTTACTATTTTCCTTATTTTTTCTTGTTTTTTTTTAGGAAAATTTTCACTTTAAAAATAAGTAAATTGGAAACAAGTTTTTTTGGTGATTTTTTGGATGAAAATTTAATATTTTCTTTTACTTTTTTCTTATTTTTTTTAGGAAATTTCTCATCTTGGAATTAAGATAAGCAAATATTGGTGACTTTTTGGGTGAAAATTTACCATTTTTCTTTCTTTTTCTTATTTTTTTTTTAGGAAATTTCACATTTTAAAATTAAGGTAAGCAAATCATAAGTGACTTTTTAGGAAATTTCACATCTTGATAAGTAAATCGAAAGTGATTTTGTTTGGATTTTTTAACCTTTTTCTTTATTTTCTTTATATTCTTTAGGAATATACTATAATAAGGTAGTTTTAAGAAGGAATTTTTAACTTATTCCTTTATTTTACTTCATTTTTTTATAAATAAATCTTATATAGGTAGGTCAATTGAAGTAGACTTTTGAAGTGGATTTTTAATTATTCTTTATTT